CTTAGAACATCCAAAAAGTATGTGTCTATTACTGTCAGATAAAGAACAATCTATGGTAAAATGTACTTCGTCCTCTACTCTATCTAGACTACAAAATTGACATATTCTTTGCTCTAGGGGAGTGCGGTTATGTCTTCCTGATTCGATTCGCAGTTTGTGACAACTGATTCTTAGTTTTGTAATGGTGGATCTATGACGTACATTTGCTATAATATAAGATATTCTTCTTTCTTACAATATAGATACCCTAGCCCCAAAGCCCTTAGCTTGGCAACTTAGGCCACACCAATTTAATTTGTTGGTTCTCGGATTTTTTCAGAAAAAATATGAAGCGACAGGGCGAAAAAATAAAAAATAAAAACAGGTCTAGGCATCCCATTATAGGCTTAAATGCTACGGAATGAGTCATGAAGTCAACACAAAAGGCTGGGTTAAAACTTAAACATTGAATTTTGAACTTTTAATCAAACCACTGCAATGATAGATGGGAAAACTGTAACAAGTAGGAAGAAAAGGACTTTCCTCAACTGTTGGGGGCAAAATATGAGCATTTTTCAGTTGATTCAGGACTAGAATCAATTTTATTTTTTTTTTGCAAATCAGAAAAAAACAAAGAGGCGAATCCGAGAACCAACAAATTAAATTGGTGTGGCCTTATGCAGTAACTAAAAAATGTACTTATAAACTTTGTTTATTGACCCTCATGGAGCAAAAATTCCCAAAATTCTGACAACAAATGGTTACTGGAAGGGCCCTTGGAAGATTTTTAGGGTACCACCCAGAAAATAAAGGACTCATGTATGAAATACTGACTCAAATGTGCTAAGTATATGTATGTGAAGCAGTGTGTGTCAATATCACAAAGATTGCCTTATTCAGAATATTTCCAGAACGTTTTGCTGCCTTAATTTGAAATTGCTTTGGATGCCTTTAAAAGACACCGGCAAAAAATTAAATTGGTGTGGCCTAAACACTATCCTATGTTCTACTAAGGCCATGTTGATTTGATTATATGGATGACATCATCTGGGGACCCCAAAACTGATGCGAGCGTGCGAATAAAAAAAAAGTTTTGCAAAAAAAAAAAGTTGCTTTCATCATGAAATCTATGTGGTCATGAAGGTTGAACAAATGACACAGAGTATGGTATGGCGAATAATCTACACTCCAAATTCATTTCTTCACATTTTCGTCTTTTTTCATTTAATTTTTGGCATTCTACGACAATGGTATCATTTTCAAATATTTTTTTTGTACCTTACGGTATATGTTTGCTCATTTTGCAACTGTTGATTGTATGATTTACAGTATGATTGAAAACTTTTTTTTTTGGAAACGGCCGAAAATTCATGCGCGCGCGGATGTCATCCATATAATCAAAATTAATCAACATGGCCTAACCAGATGAAATTATTTTCAGAATTCCACATTATTTTTTTTAATCAGTGTCAATCTTATTAACTTTAATCCCTCCCAAAAGAGCAAAGTGCGACAAACTAACATCCATCACAACAAATGTCTCTGTGATTTCACGAAACATAAAACTTTATTACCCAATCAACCAGACAGACACTAAGGCTGGATTGTGATGATTTTACAACTGAAAAACCTTCTCCAACCTCCCCCAAAAAACTTCAGAACTCTTTGTTACGCACTCAGTCTACATTCTATAACAAAATGGTGTTCATCCTCTATTCTATTGTATCAGTGACAAACTGATTAACTCTTCACAGACCTCATTTTCACAAAATACATCAATCACCTGCAGTAATTTTGTTATGAAAGATAATTTTGATGGACAAAAAAATCATGAGCCCTGGGCAGTATTTCTGGTAGATGGTTTCTGGTTGGTGGATTTTAAGCCTAGAAAGACAGTCAGAGAGACATTCTGCCTTTCCTATGCTGAATAAAGGGTTTATTGAATGAATGAACAAATGCATTGATGTTTATTGCACATTTTTGCCACACTTGACTAAGTACAGGTCACAACAAAACATGATGAACAGAGTCAGTTTTAAGACATTCAGAGAGAGACTACTGTTTCCTATGCTGAATTAGTGAACAAAACAACGTGTATTGCATCAGTTGGAAGTCTGGACAGACCTCAAGCACAAAATTATTTCTAAATGCAGAAAATACACAGACAGTCTGGTTGATGTGTTAGGTGCTAAAGACAGTGAAAGAGAGGCACTGGCCTTTCCTGTACTGAATACATGTAGGTGAATAGACCAGGTTTATTGTACCTGTGACTAAAGCTGATTAAGTCTGGACAGAGCATGAATAAAGCAAGTTTATTGTATCTAGGAAAGAATGAATTTTTGAACACCTCAATCCTTGGTTGATAACTTGAAGGCATGGCTATTTCTTGTTCTTTTCTGGGCTGGTATTTAAGGTACTTAGTAATTGGGACGTCCACCAGTTTATTAGTCATTTTGTACATCAAGCATAGTCTGGACATTTTTCTTCTGTCTTCTAGCGACCCCCAATGTATGTTACTTTTCATTTCCGTGACACTAGCACCTCTTTCATACATATAGAATCTTGCAGCTTGATTCTGTACCTTTTAGGTTTCTTTTCATTTCTGTGACTGTGCTGAATAGACCATGTTTATTGTACCAGTGACTAAAGCTGATTAAGTCTGGACAGAGTGCGAGTTAACGACATCTGCCGCCGGCGGACCCAGATGACAATTTGAGCACCGTGACAAATGGGGAGGGAGGAGCGATGTTCAGTAATTCTGCAGACACAGGATCGGCGGAAATAAGTTTGTTTACTGGTTCTTGTTAGCCGATTCATTTACGGGCTGTCAGTTTCAGGTTTGTGAGATAATGTCATAGCAAGTAATTTTTATGGATGACATCAAATTGAATGCACGCATGAAATCTTTGCCTGATTTGGGGAAAAAAACAATGGCTCTGATAAAATTTACTAGCTGTGGTCTTAAATTCTGCACTCACAGGGTAGTTCGAAACAAGTTTGTTTGTTGATTTTCTGGTTTGTATGGCCACCTTCGAAGAATGGACAGGGACAAATGGCCTAAGATCCTCACACTGGATGTGGAAGACCCAAACCCTCGTGGTTGTCCAAAGAAAAAATGGTTTAACAATGTAAGGGAGGACTTCCACCACTTGAACCATAACGTCAACCCACAGGATAGAGGCAAGTGGTGGGCTCTCAAAATGTCCAAGGAATAACTTAAAAATAAAGGAAATAAATTGGTGAGGCATTAGATAAATACCACTAATAGATACTGACCAGATTTCCAACTGAGTTTTTCTCAAGAGGTTCAAAGCAATCAGCAATTATCCCTGATGTAGCAATGATTGAACTTCCCAGCCCAGCTCTTTATTTTCTCAATCAAAATCATTTTTATGGATCCCAAAATTAAAAAGTCTTTGACTAAACATGATGGATTGAAGATTCATTA